GTCCTCCTTGAGGTATGCCTGGAAGGGAGGCACGGAGTCTGCCGTTTTCAATGCCCTCGAGGCCATCGCCCGCAGTCCCCAGCCGCGCACTCCTGTGCTGGGAGCTCAGATCACACGTGCTCTAGTACCAGCCGTTGTTAAGAATGATGTAAGTCCTATTGCAGTAGATACACCGTAGCCTTTTGCTCTAGGACCATTATTTACTCTGTCCTAGGTGTGACTGGATATCAAACCATTTGAAGTAGCAGTGTTGCCGGCCCCGCCGGTGTTTCACCGTACTAGCAAGCATCTAGCATGTAGTAGTAGCCGAAATTAGTATACAAGAAGCCGAGGTCCTTTAATAGCCAATTAAAGCACATGCATGAAAGTCAGACGACGCGCTATTAGGGGATAATGGAGGGCGCATTGGGCTTGGTCTTAGTGCACTCATATTCAGCAGTTGTATAGGTGAACCCAAAAGGTAACGTGTAACGGCAAATCGGGTTAAAAATGATTCCAGAATTTCAACCCACGTTTTACCCGAAAGCTATCCTTTCTTCGAGTATAAAATGGAATAAGGAGGTGTAATTTGCACTGAATGAGTAAAAATGGATATTTTTGTATCTGTTTTCTAAGAAGTACGTTTGGATTTAAAGAGGCATCGAAAATTCCACGAATAAGACTCGTGTTACGTTGATAGCAGTTTTTTGCAGCATGCGTTTCGCGGACTGTCGGAATGAGGGGGGTATTCAAAAACCGACAGTCTGGTATGTGACAGAAGTATATTGAGATTACGCCACAGTATAAATAATACCGCAATCTCATCTAAGTAATATTGTCTAACTGCAAACCAATTCGATAATTTCGGTTAACGCTTAATTATTTGCACCGCCTACTGTACATAACTGATGAATAAATGTCACAGTCATGTGAGTTACAGTAAAAAAGCCCGATGCATCCTCCTTTTTTTTATTATGGTCACTAGTCTGAAATGTGTTCGGTGAACAAACATTACGCAGTTAGGGTTGTGCTAGAAATGATCACATGTCCACAGTGAGCATTACACAGAAAAGCAGTTGCACGCTTATCCTACGCTAAATGCCATGAACGTGTGCTCGACAGCCTTCCGCAGTGGCTGTGGCCACAGTGTCCCCGTTGGATCTGATTGGTCCATGTACGCTAGAAGTCGCTCGGCTTTTCTAGCGCTTTCTCTTGAAGCGGATTGGACAGAATACAGTAGTCGCCAGTTATTAAGCCTACCTCGGGCCCAGACCAAATTGGGCTTAATATGCGGCTGGGCCTATTAACCGTGGGCTTAATAACCGGCGACTGGGCTTAATACGCGGCTGGGCTTATTAACCGTGGGCTTAATAACCGGCGACCTACTGTATTAGCCAATCTGAACGGGATGCTATAAATATATACAGCCCTTGAGTGAGAATGACTTGCTGGGCTTGAATACATTTTCTCGTGGCCGGTCGTGTTCTCGTTCTCGCCCGTGCTGTTAGGTAGTGTGGTAGCTCCAGCGCAAGTCAACTATCAATTAAAACTAAATCACCCGGTGGTTTGCCTAATGCCCGATCCTCCGTAAGTCTCGGTCTTCTTGACTCTGTCTTGTCACGAGGCCAGACAAGTGACAGTGCGCGACGGCTATATTCACTTAAAACTAACCCCTGTCGCCCTTGCACATTCCCTAGCCCAATCTATTTGGAGCACGTGGTGGACTTACTCGAAATCGATGATCGGAGTATCAGTTAATTCTAAGTATCAGATCGGGTCATAACAGGTTGTAATACTGAGTATCATGCATCATAAGATATTTCTGTTTCGATAGGATGCCGGCTTTTGGATGAATTGCCTTACCACCGTCTGCAATAATACCGCACTCAGTAAAATAACGACTTGATTGGTGTGTTTTCCCCTGTATTTTCGATGTCCTTATAGATTCAACCATACGTAATAGGAAACATACGTAAAATATTCTATCTTGCATGCGTTTCGTAGAGATTGACGTTTTCTTTAGATTTTAGCTTGAGCAAGAGGTATTTTTGTTGCTAGTAATAAGACCGAAACAGACAAGACAACACGTCCGTGACGCAGTGGACTAAAGCGTTAGAATTTCCACCACCAGGTCGTGGGTTCAAGCCTCAGTTGCTGCAACAACTGCGGTTGGCTCAGACTACCTGATGAAGGCTAATAAGCCGTGAATGGCCATATTTATTTGTCTCTTCTTTGTCGAAAATTTAAATCGACGTATATCACTAGCCGTTGTGCGGCTGTTTGCGAGACTCGAGGGAGAGCGAGATAGCTCTAAGACACAAGAAGACGAATGATCGCCGTAACTGAT